AAATATATAATGTAATTTAGATATATACACAATATACATTAATATTTATTCGTATAATTAAAAATAAAATAAATAAATATTGAAATTTAAAAATGTTATAAAAATTTAATAAAATGTTAAAATTGGTATAATAGGCAAAAATTGTTTAATAAAATCCATCCCCTCCAATGTGTATTTAAAAATGTGTATTTATTTATAATAATTTTATTTATTTTTTATTTTTTATAATTTTGTATTATATAAAATTTTATTTTCTAATCAAATGATATATATATTGATATACTTTTATTTAAATATAATTTTAAAATAAATTATATTGATATGAAAATAAATAAATATATATATGTAATCTTTTGTTAAAATTTAAAAAAAAAAAAGAAAAAAAAAGTAAAATGATGACCTAGAAATGAAAGAAAAACTTTTGATAAGTTTATTTGACCTAGATGATCTTAAATAAGCTAAAACCTTTTGAATTTGTCAAACAACCCTAAACTGATATTAATTAATTTCATATTAAAATGACATTATTCTAACAAACTCACAATATTAATTTTTCAAACAAGATCCCCTAATTTCTCTACCTATTATAATACATAAACCAAACCTAACATCATCATAGTTATCATTCATAGCAGCTTCACATTGGGCATCAAGAAAAAACAAAAACCCCTTAACAATGGCGTCAAGTTCTTCGACTTCTCAATCCATCCTCATCTCCGGACTCCCTAACCAAATTGCAGAGCTAATATTCGAGAAGCTCTGGGCAATCGATCGCGCTAAATTAAGAACCGTATCGAAGGCATGGAATGCGGCTCTAACCGATAAGACTCTCCCTGCGGCACCTTCCGAACCTCCATGGTTCATCCCGAGGCATATCCTGAGCGAAGTAAAATTCGAAAGCTTCTATGGGAAGAAAACATACACTTTCAAATGTCCGAAATTCCAATATTCGCGCTGCTGCGGCTCTTCCAATGGTTGGCTCCTTCTTATAATCGATAGGGATAACAACAATTCGGATTTGGCGACGGTGCTATGGAATCCGCTCTCCGGCAAGGTTCGGAATCTACCTTCTCTATCGTTGATTCATCAGATTTTCAAGGGTACCATGAACTGCATTATTTTTGGTTGGATTTATGCCATGTTATATATTTTGAATTTGCTCGTCTTCTCCACAAACTCCATCGGCCTTGCCGTCGCCATCCTTTTTCGAAGTGGGGAAAATTTGGCTTCGACGCCGTCTCTATTGGTTGTCTGTACGCCAGAAGATTCGCAGTGGACGGTTGTGGAGATGAACATGGAGGGAGCGCGTATGGTGGATATCCTATTCCATAGAGGCAAGCTTTTCGTCTACTGCTATGTGACGAACCCTACCGGAGGAGAAGGAAGCGGCGGAATTATCAGGTATGGTGGCCGCGCCGTCAGCGGCAGCCTGGAATTGGACATATGCTTCATATTTGGAGGTGAACCAGCAGCTAAGCTGCACGTGAATAAAGGTAAGTTTGGCGATGGCGATCTGTTGGGTGAGGTTTTTGTCGAATCGGTTAACCTAGAAGAAGAATTCAAGCAGCGAGAGAAAGACTTTGGTTGGAATGACGAGATTTGTGATTCAATTTACAATTTGTCGACGTCTACTAAGTTTATCCCAAAATTCCATTGTTAGGGTTTTAGGGTAGCCAATTTTTCACTTGTTAGGGTTTTGGGTCCCGAAGAAATTATACTTTTGATATTATTATTATTATTATTATTATTATTGAGATTTTATTTTTCATGCTACAATAATGATTAACTTAGTCCAACTCCCTTTAATATTTAACCGACTGGATCGGATCATAGTCTAATTTATGAGAAAAATGGAAATTAAATCAAAATTTTATAACAAATATGTTTTGTGAAAAAATAAGTTCAAATCAATTTATGATAAAATCTAAAGAAAATAAAAGAAGTCCAAAGTGGTATAACATGTGTAAAGAATTACTCTTTTTTTTTTCTTTTTTTACTAATTTGGCGCTATTTATTTTTCGAAAAAAAATATAATACCAAATATTAATTTTTCTTTTTTTTTTCTCAAAATTTCAAAAACATATATTTAAACAAAGCAAAAAAAAAAAATTAATAGGAAGAAAAATAGATAAATTCATTAATAAAAACAAGTAATGCTCAACAAACCAAAATATCACTACAAAAAAAAATCAGTTTTGTAACAAATTTTTTTTATCTCTAAATCTATTTTTTCCGTTATTAATGACATTAGAGACGGAATTATGAATGAAATTACGTTAGCTACATGAACTTTAGAGACGGAATTCCGTTACAAATATATTATTTTTTTGTAGTGTACTAATACAATAAAATGTTGACCTAAATTAAAATATTTCCAAACATATAATATATATATAAATCCAAAATGTTAGTAATATTGGTATAGGATTAGCCAATAAAAATATTAATTATTTCTACTGCTAATCACTATTTTATATATTATATATATTGTGTATATAATATATGTAAATAGATATACGGTGTATGCAGTAGGTAAATATAATATATATTAGATAATGTATGTATGTATATATATATATATTATCTTGGGTGTGTGCGTTAGTGTATATGTATATAATGATATAAAAGTAATAATGATAAGGAGAGCAGGGTGAGAGCAAAATGAGTGTGTTTATTTTCTTTGATTAACAAACATACATATATAGGCAGATAACCTCAACAAGAAGATAAGGAAAAGCATACATATCTAATACATAGCACCCACGGAGGTGCTACGTGTATAACACTCCCCTTAAATGCTTTTGTACAGAGAATGTGTCTCGTTAAAATTTTACTAACTCTGTGGGACAAAAAAATCCTAGTAAAGGAAAAAAAGTACACTATTCTTGTATCGATTCGCTCCTCCTAATCTGAGCATTATTTGAAATCCCTTAACCGAGCATCCCAATTTTTTTCACCAGTTTTTCAAATGTTGTCGTCGGCAATGCTTTGGTTAATATATCCGCTAAATTATTATCGTATCGAATTTGCTGCACATAATTTCACCATTCTGCTGAAGATCATGAGTAAAAAGGAATTTTGGTGAAATATGTTTCGTTCTATCTCCTTTAATGTAACCCACTTTTAATTGTGTTATACAAGTTGTATTATCTTCATACAATGTAATTGGGGGAATTTTAACGTCAGGTATTAACCCGCAATTTTTCAGAATATGTTGAGTCATTGACCTCAACCAAACACATTCTCGACTAGCTTCATGTATTGTCAATATTTCAGCATAATTTGAAAAAGTACCAGTTAAAGTTTATTTCATCGATCTCCAAGAGATCACTGTTTCGCTACAAGTAAATATATAGTCAATTTGCGACTTGGCTTTACGAGGATCCGATAAATATCCTGTATCGGCAAAACCAATTAATTCATGTCGAGAATCTTTCGAGTAGAATAACCCGAGATCAATTGTTCCTTAGAGATAGCGAAAAATATGTTTAATCACATTCCAATGTCGTCGAATAGGCGATGAGTTGAATCTTGTCAATAAGTTTACAGCAAATTTAAATTATAAATTTCTAAAAAATACATGTCTACCGTATAGATAATCTTATGCTATTATATAAAAATAAATATTGTAAAAAATTTAACAAATAATCTATTTTTGAAAATTATTAATAATAATAATAATATAGTTGATGTTGACAAATTATTTTCATAATTTTCTGACTATTGTTTTAAAAGATTAAAAACTATTTGTATACTAAACTTAAAATTTTTAGTTATTGTTATTTTTTAACGAAATAAATATTTTAATATTATAAATAAAATGAGTTTGTTTGATTATAGTTTGAAATTAATTCACAATAAAGTGATGTATGAGTTTTGTTTAAATAATATTTTAATATAATATTTTGTTTAAAAATAATATATTTTTATTAAAAATTAGTAAGAATAAATAATATTTTCTTTTCTATCCATATTTATTTTTACTTTCTTTCGTATAATTGTATTGTTGTTACTTCTTCCGTCCATCACCAATGTATTTATTTGTTTTTGCAAGTAAATTTTAATATATTAATATTATATAAATATATAGTACAATTGATATGTATAAATATTATTATACTCTTAACATATATGATATTATTTGATGATATTTGTATAATATTATATGAACGGTGAATGTATTTTTATATTTGAGCAGAAATACATTTACTAAAAATAAAAATGAATATATTTCTTATAGACAAACTAAAATAACAAAATAGATAGATTGGCTACCGAAGGAGTATCATTTTTTTAAAAGAAAATAATAATAATAAAAGTATATATTTTTATTTACTTTTTTAAAAAATTTATATCCAGTGAAATGGTTACAAAATTGGACGTAAAAATAGTAATAATTTTAATTTGAAATGTATGTATATATATATTATATGATATAACCCCTATATATTGTGTACTTTTCATAAAATATATGCAATACTCAGTAGGGTAATATTTTCATTTGACTTTTGCACCTGAATTAAAAAAATTATTATTTTATAGATATATAGTATTAAAAGTAATATAATATCTATTTTTATCTATAAAAAGTAATGTGAAAACATAAAAAATATGAGTATTTTGGTATTTCTCTGTAATTTATTTTTGTAAAAAATGAAATTAAAAGTTTTGATTTGGACATACTAAAATAAAAAATAAGAAGTTTAACAGTGGACGAAGGGAGTGTAATTTACTTCTTATTTTCTTCATTTCTTAACCATCTATATTATGATAAAATTTTGTGCAATAAATAATCGGATAAATAGATATGAAAACACAATATATATATATATAATAATATTCAGAGAAAAGACAAAAGAAGTGAAACAATGCCGCACGTGGCGAAAAAACAATTGCCGAAAAATCGCGACAGTAGTGAAAGCTCCATTTCCAACACAAATAAGCTGCAAAATTGACCCATGGACTCAACCCACTGTGCGTGTGTGTGTGTGTCTCTATGTGTCTATAGATCGATCAATTGATTCACCGATTCGCAACAAGGAACAAAACAATGGAACATCTCACCTCATCTCATCTCATCTCATTATTTCTAACACCACTTCCAATTTTTAGGGATCGGTCCAAATTCGCCCTCCGCCATTGATGCTCCTTCCATCATTCTCCCCACCTCTCAATTCACTCTCCCCAATCCTTTTACCCACTTCACTTTCCCCATAATTGATCTCTCCTCTCCTCTCCATTTCCATTCCCATTCGCAATCCCAATTTCCCGATTCTATTCCCATTTTCAATCCCCATCCACCGCAACGTGAAATTATAACTGAACGCCTGTAGAGAGGATCCAATTTTTTCGGAGATTAAATGGGTCGTGTTGCGGTAGGGGCGGCGGTGGTCGGAGCCGCTGCGGTGGTCGGCGTGGCGGCGCTGGTGGTGAGGCAGCGGATGAGGAATTCCGGGAGGTGGTCCAGCGCGATGGCGATCGTGAAGGAATTTGAGGAGAATTGTTCGACGCCCTTGGTGAAGCTGAGGCAGATCGCCGACGCAATGACGGTCGAGATGCATTCTGGATTGGCATCGGACGGCGGGAGTAAGCTCAAGATGTTGATCAGCTATGTCGATAGCCTCCCCAGTGGGTAAATTTTCAATTTCCCCTTTTCCATTGAATTGGAGCTTTAGATTGCTTGGCAATAGTAAAATGTTCATATATATATATATTTAATGCGATGTTTTGGATATAATATTGATTCGTCCAACAAGTCGAAAACAGTATTGAAAACAATAAGTGAACGTTCTCCCTGTTTAGACAGAAGTTTTCAAAATTTTGGGAGCAAGAATTTGAGGATTTGAGGTAATGGTGATGTTTTGATTATGAAAATTGTATTTGATGTGATGATCTTTTGAGCATAAGTTCCGGAAATTTCAATGGATGAAAAGATCTCTCAATCTCCATGCTTAGACTATAATATTTGCTCTTTCGATTTTTGAAATGGTAGTATGTATATGTACATTGATTTCGAATAATGTAGTGGCATTTATGATCCTAGAAATTCATGGATGTATGATTAGATCCTAAATAGTGTAGATGATCGATGATCGAATTTAATTTGTGACAGGAAATTTGTGTTTATAGAGACTTATCTTTAGTGTGTTTTGCTATAACGAATTCGTCGCGAAAAAATGTGTGTAAAAGCTCCCTTAGGTTTGTCCTATACATTTCGAGTTGGCGATGATTGAGGTTTTCCTTCTTGAGTCGAATATATTTTGGATTTTATTTTTAAAAATTTTTGTCGCGACTCAGCGACGAGGCAGGCATATTTTATGCTTTAGATCTTGGAGGGACGAACTTCCGCGTCTTGCGAGTTCAACTAGGTGGAAAGGGAAGCGGCATTGAGCATCAGGAGTTTGCCGAGGCGACAATACCCCCAGCGTTGATGAGTGGTAGTTCTGATGTAAGGAATTATCGTTTACTCTGTAATACAGATTTTTCGCGCCACGGTCGAATACTCAGGAAATAGTCGTTTCCAGGCACTTTTCGATTATATTGTCGAAAAACTCGCGAATTTTGTCGCTGAAGAAGAGCAGAGGTTTCATCAACCTGAAGGGAGGCAGAGGGAGTTGGGCTTCACCTTCTCGTTCCCGGTGTTGCAGAGTTCGATAAACTCCGGAACTCTGATCCGGTGGACGAAGGGCTTCTCAATAGACGATGCTGTAACTCATCTTGCCGAATTGATAAGCGTTTTTGTCGTCATTTCAAGAAATTCGATACTTTCTTGATTTTTTCGACTGTGGTTTGTTCGTAGGTTGGCCAAGATGTCGTCGCTGAACTCGACAAAGCCTTGAAAAGAAAGGGCGTCGAAATGCGAGTCTCAGCTCTGGTAAGCTTGTTTTGTGCAATTTTGGAATTTTTTTAGAACTCGCTACTTTTCCGATAGTCGACATTTTTTCCCTTTTTTTTTTGTTCTCTTGTCTCAGGTTAACGACACGATTGGAACATTGGCCGGGGGAAGATATGCTAATAATGATGTAGCCATTGCCGTGATTTTGGGTACCGGAAGTAATGCTGCGTATATCGAACACGCCAACGCTATTCCAAAGTGGCGCGGTCCTTTGCCCGACTCCGGAGAAATGGTAAGTATTCATGCGCGTCGCAAACCCTCTCGTTTTATTTAATAGAAGTTAAAAAGATCGATCAGAAAAAAAAAAAAAAAATTCATCGAAGATACTACTGAAGCCATGAATGAATTGCGTCGACGCAGGTTATAAACATGGAATGGGGTAACTTCAAAGCATTGGCTCTTCCCTTAACCGAATTCGACATTGCGCTGGATGTCGAAAGCGTAAATCCCGGCGAACAGGTATGGCTTCAATCGATGATTTCTATTATCCATTCAGGCGAATCAAATACTTACGATTCTTTGATAATGCAGATATTCGAGAAATTGATTTCCGGCATGTACTTGGGGGAAATATTGCGCCGAATTTTACTTAAAATGGCCGAAGAAGCCTCTTTCTTCGGCGATAAAATTCCAGCGAAACTCAAAATCCCGTTAACTTTGAGGTAATTCATACATTTTACTTAAATTTACGCCGTCGACGAAACCCAAATTATATACTTCAGCTCGATAATGTAACCTGCAGCACGCCTGAAATGTCATCTATGCATCACGATAAGTCGCCTGATCTTCACGTCGTAAAGGACAAGCTTAAGAGCATACTCGAGGTATGTCATGTACTTAAATTTACCGAAACAGAGTTTTTTCTCGACTGCGCTTAATTTACGTCGGTACTTTATTTGTTTTCAGATTTCGAACACTTCCTTGCAAACAAGGAAAGTCGTCGTCGAGCTCTGCAACATCATCGCCTCGCGCGGGGCTCGTCTCGCAGCCGCGGGGATTTTAGGCGTCTTGAAGAAAATGGGACGGGACGGTCCGAGAGAAGGGGGCGGGAAGACAGTGATCGCCATGGACGGCGGTTTGTACGAGCACTACACCGAATACCGGAAATGTTTAGAGACCACGATAAGCGAATTGCTCGGGGAGGGGCTCGCTTCGAGCATCGAGTTCATGCACTCGAACGACGGCTCTGGAATCGGCGCAGCCCTCCTCGCGGCGTCGCACTCGCTATATCGCTGGTGAGTTCGTCGTAAATTTTTCGAGCGAAACATTTTTTCGAGCGTTTATTTTTTTATCGATCGATCGAATCGATTCGATTCCGGCGAGAATGAGGATGAGGCGAAGCCTCGATATTTTTTTCTTTCTTTTTTTTCTTTCCTTTTAGGCTATTGAATAAGATTGAAGAGAGCTCTGTTTTTTAACTTCGTCGATCATCCCATTTTATTTCATTTCTTCATGGGATTGTATGATGTAATAACATTAACACTTTCATGGTATTTTACAGCAGCCCAGAAAAGGGCTTAAAACTTCGATTAAGATTACAAATTACAATCGCAGTTCTATCTTACAAGCCAAACTACAAGAAATCAATCACTTTTTTAACCTTAAAAGACATCATTTTTACCATTTCCGGGCTTTATTGTATCGAACGATTCGATCTCCCGCCAGCCCGGTTAATTCGATTCGGGCTCATCCGATTTCAAGCCACGTCCTTCCCCGAGCGCGACAGAGCAGGGAGTTCGGAGCTTCGCAGCACGCGCAGCCTTTTGACGGTGGAGACGAACATGCTGCAAGAATTCAGACAGCGATGAAGATCGAATGAGTTTCGTGACGATGTGATTAATTTAAGACTATGAATGCAACTAGCGAACAATTCAAGTATTCGTTTTTGTCTCTTTAACCATTGAAAGAAGACGCGAAAACAACGTAGGACCTAACGAACAAATAAGGCATCTCGGATTGATTAAGATTCAAGATTCTCACTGCCAAGGGACATCCCCGACTAGCATCCGATCGCCCTCGTTGTCCTCGTAAACAAGCGTATACTCGCCATTTTTGTTAACTAAGCTTCTCTTCATATCCTCGACCTTAATCGAGGAATCCCTTTGTGCTACACGACAAAAACAAAAAAAGGAAAAACATTGTCAAAATATTTGTTGTGACGGATTGGATTAGGACTAATGATCGAATAACATAAACGTAAGAAGACAGTCCACCAACAACGTGTTGTCTATGTCAATAAGACAACGGAGAACAGATTTATTGAGAACAACTTGATTTCATATATATGTGTTCAAATAAACTAAGATAATAGATCAAACGGGCTCAGTCCAATGTTACGTACCATCAGTTTTCTTTTCCTTCGAAAAATCATATTTTTTATTAAAATATATTATTTTTTCTCACAAAAATATTGTATTTGAATCTAATTTAACCTGCAATAAGGCCGTGGAAGAGCTCATCGACAGCATACGACAGCTTCTCGTAGCTATCGTATGCTTTGAGGTCGACTTTCCTCCCTATGGGAATGCCATCCATGTTGATCTTAACGAACCGCCCTTTCGGGCAGCTTTCCACGGCTTTTCGATCGGAAACCTTGCCGGAAATTGATTCAGACACCATTTTGGATGAATTTCCGGTTGCAAGATTCTTCCTGAACGACCTCACCGGCGGCCATCCGACCACCGGACCGGCAGCTGTCCTGTCGTATTGTTCCACACCAATAACAAGATTATTACATTTACAACTGAAAAATAGATACAATTATATGTGTATGTATATATTGGATGAAAACTAGGGCAACCTTTTTTGCCATGGAGGTTTGAAGACAGATTGATGATGATCTGCAGATGGAGGGCCAAGACAGAGGTCGAGCTTCGGAGAGCCGTAGGTTGTGTCGTGGTCGTCGTATTCGTCGTCCTCCTCTTTGACAGTCGTCGTCTTCGTCCATTCTGTGTCTTTTCGAACCAAATCGAAGAAGTGATGACAGCCGGCGTCGTCGTGTTTTCTTGGATAATCTTCCATTGTTGGGGTGTCTCATAAACACACACAGAATTAGGGTTGTGTTTTTTCGAAACAACAGAAAGTGAATGAATTTAATTAATTAAGAAAGGTTGGAGAATCTTTCGAGTGAAGAAGAGGGCCCCAACATCAAGAAAATGGAGGATTAGAAAAATTTGCACGCAACCAACCCCACCCCCTCTCTCACTATACACACAAATATATCTATATAAATCGGACTTACTTTGCAGGATATTAGATTCAATCGAAAATTAATTAAGAACGCACTCGACAAGTAGCGGCTGCAAATTCCGGCATTACTAAAAATATACTCTCTCTGTTCCAATACAATAGTCGTTTCCATAAATAACTATATTATCGTAAAACTATCCATACTTTTTTATTTTTATTATACAATTGCTACTACTTTTTACACTAATACACTCGTAAAGGCAAAAAAAAAATTTATCCATAAAATGTCGTGTCCAACCCAATTAAAATTATATTTATGGGACTGAAGAAGTATATATCTATATAAACGAGTCGTAAAGATTTGCATAATGATATTGGAATGAATTCGTGACTATATAAAATTATGAATATTAGAGTTTTTACCTATATTTTTATATTTATACTTAGGTATAGTCTTTGTCATTTATATCTTAAATTTAGTCATCTCAAGCTTAGATCATTTATATCGAATTGGATAATAATATTTTTTTTTTCATTATTATTTGCTTTTTTATGTATTTTTTACTCTCCGCAACAAAGTATATATACAACTTTGATATGATGCTTGTATAAATATATCATTTTAAGAATACAACATGTGTCGTGTTAAAATGCTTGAAAAGATTATACCTTATGTAGTCTACTCTTTTTGTATACTTATTATGTTGTAAAAATTGTAAATTGATTATTACTATTATTAGTTCATACATTACATTGTATTTATATTATATCTATATATTATGTATTTCTGATCATATTGAGTACTTTGCTAACCAATATGTTGAAATTTAAACTCTAAATTAAGGATCTACCGTGTTAAAATAATTGAGATAAAATAAAGCAAATTCGATCTAATCTTATTCTTCAACATAGTCGGATTTGGATATGTAAATCGGAGGGTTTTGTATTCTTCAACTCTATGGCACTAACCCTTCATGAAAAAACAGCTAGGGTTTTTGCGATTACTCTCACGATAGATATGGAACGTAATGATTGTTGTGTCTAGACGTAGATCACAAACCCTATTTTTAAACCTTATAATTAATTGATTTCATCACTCAATTAATAAGTTATCGAGTTTCTGTACATAGCAAGCCTGCACTTACTAAATACATCTAAACTCAATAAATTAATAAGTTACTTAATATAGACTTAATCCGATTGATAATCCAAATAATTACGTTTAATTCACAATTAAATTTTTAATCCAACGCAATATCCTATCGACATTCGAGACAATCGACATATATAATATTTATATGTTGTTGATTTGAGGAAGCAACGCGTGCTGTGAAGATGGAGCAAAGAGGGCTTTTAGAAAAGACAACGTCAAACAGACAACAGTAAAACAAGAAGATAGAGGACAGCATCCAACAGTGTCCTAATCCCTAAAAATAAAAAATAAAAATAAAAATAAAAATCACCCACCAGCATAGCATTGTTATTTGGAAATGATTTGATTTGATTTGATTTGATAATATATTATATACATCCCCCTTCGCCTGAAATGAAAAATGAAAACTAGCTTGGAAGTCAATCATGGAAAGAGTAGAAAACAGTGGTGTGCCCTAAACACGATGACTCACTCTACACTTCATTCTTCATCTTCATCTCACGGCTGGGAACGTAACCGTCCCAACTCTAAATAATCCAACGCCCCACACAAGCCTTTCCTTATCTATACTTTTTATATATTTCCTCCGTCGTTCAAATCTAGGCTCACTTTTTTTTAAAAAAAAATCGAAAAATATTCTTATTTTTTTAATAAAAAATTATTCTATTTTTATATTGTTTTATACTATAAAAAAAAATTAACAATTATTAGTCACTTTTATTAAAACTCGTACCTAGTCAAATAAATACATATTTGCATGACGAAGGGAGTATATATAATTTATTTAATATATATAATGATTTATAATTATAAAATTTTGAGTTAAAAGACTTCAGGGCTTCAAAAAATTAAAAAAACAATTTTAACACTATTTTTTATTTAAAAATGGTAGAATAATATTTTATTTAATTATTTATATTTTATTATAATTAAAAAAAATATTTATAATAGACAAACCTTAACCCTAGAATTATTTAGAATAAATTATATAACGTCATGAAATCCCTAATGTTAATATAAAATTCGCACTAAATATTCTATTTGTCCGAAACTGATTCTAAATAAATACCTAAATTTTTATATCAATAAAAAATAAAAAAAAATATGTTTTATTAATTTTTTTAATAAAATAAATAATTAATTGATTAATCATTCATTTTTATAGTTTATAAAGACAAATTGTTATTTGATTTTTATAAAAAATAAATGATTGATCAATTATTTATTTATTTAAAAAAATTATTCACGATATTTTACTTTTTTATCTGTATAAAATTTGTATAATTTAAATTTTTATTTACAACCAAATATTAATTTTAGATAAAGGTGTTTCATGCCGCAAATTTTACATTAACATAACGGATTTCACGCAATAAATAACAGACATTTTGCTTTTGTGCATTTTTATTAAAAACACAATTGGTATTACTCCCTCCCTCTCGATACAATAGTCTTATTTACCATTTTTGTCCGCCCTAAAACAATAATCTTGTTTTCATAAATAATCATGTCACCATAAAATTACCTCTATTTTTCATTTTTATTATCCAGTTGTCACTACTTTTTACACTAATATACTCACAATGACAAAGAAATCTTCTATCCATATTTTTTTACCAAACTATTAATATAATATTAATATTTATTAAATCTCGTGTCCAACCCAATTAATATTTTATTTATGTAACACGAAGAGTATATAATTTACCCAATTATTTAAATATTTACTTAAAATATTGCACTTTTCCTGGATGCCACGTGTCCACTCGAGTGGGCCCAGAAGGTCGTGTGGCAGCGCGGACACGGTGAGCCGTGGATCTCCGACAAAGGAATAATCAACGGCCAAAAAAGCCTCAGCAAATTTAATAGAAAAAGCGCATTTTAAAGAGACTTTTGTACAACAATAAACGCGTCCACTCAAAACGCGACACGCGGCACCTCTGTGTCACGTCAACCATTTCCCAAAAGCCCACAATTGCGTGAGCCAATCCCAGCCGTCGGATCTGAATCGGACGGCGCAGAAATCAGTGGGGCCAACAATGGGAGACAACCCGTGCTTAGAGCGTCAAATCAAAAAGGAGCAACTTGGGCTTTGTAATAATCGCCACTAATAACTAAAGTCGTGCTTCAACTTTAACCAGATTCTAATCACGATTTTGGAATTTTTATTGGGAAAATGAGACAGACCGCACTGGACAATACCCTAAAGTCGCTAGTCGCGTCAACAGCCCGAACCCATTTCTCAAATAATCGGGTCGGATCTATTATTTTATTATTTTTTTTCAATTTAGGATGGTCAACCAAAAGAAATGTTAAAGTAGATTTTGACCGGCTCAAACTAATTAATTAGAAGAAATATCGAGTGTTTTTTTTTATTATTTAATTTCTTAATTATTTTTTTGAGATATTATTTTAATAAGTATTATCAAATTGTAGTTTTTCTTTTTTAATTTTGAATTTAATTTGAATAATTTTTTTGGTGTAGTGCTTTTTTTTTTTTTTAACAAGAAAATTGTGATTGTTACGTACGAAATTTAGAATTAGGTTAAAAGCCCAAGGTAAAAAGAAGAATGGGCCTGGCAATAGGGTTGATTGAACTGGCTGAAGGACACCGTGAGGAAATCAAGGAAAATAAATTTATTTATTTATTTCTAAGGAAAATACAGGTCGGAAGGTTTTCAAGTCGGTAGGTCCTCAGGACGGAAAGACCTCAGGACGGAAGGTTCTTAGGTCGGTAGGTCCTCAGGACGGAAAGACCTCAGGACGGAAGGACCTCAGGTCGGTAGGTCCTCAGGACGGAAAGACCTCAGGTCGGAAGGTCTTCAGGTCGGGAGGCCCTCAAGATGGAAAGACCTCAAGTCGGAAGGTCTTCAGGTCGGGAGGTCCGCAAGATGGAAAGACCTCAAGTCGGAAGGTCTTCAGGTCGGGAGGTCCGCAAGACGGAAAGATCTCAAGTCGGAAGGTCTTCAGGTCGGGAGGTCTGCAAGACGGAAAGACGATGAGTCGGAAGGTTTTCAAGTCGGGAGGTCCTCGAGACGGAAAGTCGTCGAGATGGGATATCCGCAGGTCGGGTAAACTGTAGGTCGGATAGAAGGCGGAGTCGGACAAACGCGGAGGCCTTTGATCAAAGACAGGGGGCGGTTGATATGGAGGTCGGCCCAAGTGGGGTCGGGCAAAGAAGTAGGTCGGACGAAGGACGAAGTCGGGCCAAAAGAGCGGAAGGTTTGTGGTCGGCTCAAGGAGTGAAATATAGGGAATTTTGGTCTGCTGGGGACACGTGTCAGCATGAGAAAGGTTGGAAGACGGTTGAGAAGGAGACGTTGTAACCGTTCGGGTGACGGTTTTCAGTACGGTTTCCCAGGGAATATTTAAGGTTTGAATCATCATTTGGCAAGACATCTTCAATCAACTTCAACAAAGCAAAGTCAGATTTGGGGATCACCACTTTAAATTTCAGTCTTTTATTTTCCAGTTTATTTTCTGTACCATACAGTGTTTAGAGATTCCTAATCTCAGGCACTAATTAATCAAGTTTAAGGATATTTTCTATATCTTTGAATTTTACTTTATTTTTGTTGAAAAATTACATCAACAAATTGGCGACCACAGTGGGAGCAAGACAAAATTGCTCATTCCAACTCCGGCGATAATTTCATACGTGTTAGATCCGGCCGAATCATCGGAAGGGTTATGGCAGGTTCACAACCGCAATCATCTTCGACACCGGTGGGAGAATCCGTTCCACCA